CACATGCCTGGAAGAACCTTGTGTTTCTATCCCCTTCTTGGAGCCATTTGAGTCTTGCTTTGGTTTTCCAGTACACCTTTTCATCTATGTATGCCTGATGTAGCTTTTGCTTGCACTGAAACCACTACTCCCAATCCCTATTTCCCCCTTGTTGTCCCAATATCTCAAGTTTAGAGTTACAGCTCTGGATAAGCTTAGAGGAATTGGTCTGCTGATTGGCTAACCATCTCAATAAGCTCAACTTGACATGTCTAAGCTTCTGCTGAAAACTGTATAAACCTCTGCCATGAACAGGGAGCTCCCAAGCCTTAGCAACACATTCTGCATATCCCTTAGATTTAGCCTATCTACTATCAAAGCAAAATCTCTTTCTATTGTGCTTCTCCAAACTGTCTGTTTTCATCAGTAGGAGACTGTGATCAGATGATATCATGGGGAGATGGAGAACTGAGGATTTGGGAAATTTGAGGATCCAATAAGGAGAGAACAAGAGTCTATCCAGTTTCTCCTCCACAACGTCCTGCCCTTGCCTACCGTTTGACCATGTATACGGGTGTCCCACCACTGGACATTCATACACGCCAAGGTTCTGGACAAAGATCCTAAAACTGAGAAAATTACTCTCTCTCCTAACCATGCCCCCATGCTTTTCCTCATTGTTCAGGATGTCATTGAAATCACCTGCTAGAAACCAAACATCTCCCCAAGAAGACTGAGAGTTAAGAAAAAAGTCCCCTTGTCTCTCTAAGGGGATATACACTAGCATAGATGAAGATAGCCCATAGCTTATCAGCACCATTGCCCCAGTTGAAACAAACTTGCATACAAAATTATTACTAATAATCTCTAGGATATTGACTTTATGAGACCAACCTAACAAAAGACCACCATTTGTTCCCTGAGGCACCTCATACTCCCAGGTATTAATAAAGGGCAAATTCCTACACACAGTTTGAACAAAAGATTTTTTCTTTTTTCACTTCTGAAAGGAAAACAAAATCAAGGAGGTAGGATTTTATCTTATCCTTCAATTAAGGAATTGTAAAAGGTCCTTCAGGCCTCTACAATTCCACACCACGACTCTCATTTATCACTTTGGGACTATTTATGGCTGGTTTCCTCCACATTTTTCACAGAAGATCAGAAATTATTTTTTGTTTTTTCAAAATTGAGGCTGAGTGAGCAGGAACAGAGGGAGAGTCCTTCTCTGATTTCCTTTCAGACTATAGTTCAGTGAGGAGCCACTAGGATTATATACTTGAGATGCATCATTATGGCCCTTCACAGTGACTCCTTACTCTTGGTAATTCTGGCTAATGTGTGTTTGGGTTTATGCTGGATGAAGTGACTGAACTTTGGGCTATAGGAATATTTACCAGGTTACTCAAGTCTAGACCCTGGCTTCTAGCCATGTCCAACTCCATAGACTCAATGATGGCTTCCTTATCCTTTGGGGATTCAGCACAAGCCTAGGTAATACCCTCAATTTTATTACCTCCTATACTACCCCTTTCTATTTTTTTATGACCTGGATTACTCTCAACTAAGTCTAGGATGTTCTGGTCACTGCCTGTACCCTCTTGATTCTCAAGATCATTGGGATCATCAGTAGTAGTTCCACAGAACTTATCCTTACTAGACCCAAAATTGGGATTTCCAGTAGCACACTAGAGGATTTTTTGTCCCTAGATGTATTATGAGCAAAGAAGGAACTCCTCAACCATTCCCCAAAAATTGACCAGTTCTAAGTTTTTTCCTCAAGATATCATCTTTGCTGAAAGCACAAGCTCTGTTATTATGGCCGATTCTCCCACAATAGAAACAAAATGTGAGAAGATTCTCATACCTGAATTAAATCCATTACGCTTCAGAGCTTAATCTTAAGATGGTACCTCTGAGAATGGGCTCAAGCAAGTTGATTTGCGCCAGTATACGGACGACATTGCCATTCTAGAGATTGTTCCCTAGGTTGGGAATAATAACATCCTTGACGGACTCAAAGACATTCCCCACCTTAACTCCAGTCTCTGCAGATATCCAATGAAGTGGAAAATTGTGGATCTGAACCCACAGGTCCACCATCAATTCTTCCTTCGTGAACTCTGTTTTCCTCATTTTCCATTCTTTAAGAAGGAGATATTGCCCGTCGAAGGACCATACGCTGTCGTTAAGGATTCTGGATTTGTCTTCCTCAGACTGAAAGATGAATTGAAAATGGTTATCTTTCAACCGTCGCACCGAGAAAGGCCTTTCAGTGCGCCAGAACATTCATCGTTGATTTCAGCCCTCATAGGTTAACTTTCTTTTCTCCAACTATCTTCCCAATTAAACTCAACATACATTCCTGCAATCCTGGTTCAATATCTTGATCCGATAAAGAAACTCCACCTTTTTTCTTCTCGGATAACTCAAATTTGCTCAATATTTCGGTTATATCCTGCGTCATGTGACTTCAAAGAACTCAAACTCACTAGAGACTTCGGACAATAAGGAAATCACCTGCAAAAGGGGGATAAGGAAAGAAACAAACTTAGAAACAAAAATCCCTAAAAAATATGAAACCCTAGAAAACCAGAAGGAGATATAAGATGAAGAAAAACCCCTAGATGACCGAGGATTAGATAGAAGAGAGAATAAGCAAAACAAAGGCAAAAGAAAATCAGAACAGGCTGGATTAAGCTGATAACGTTGATCCACAGATATGGAACTGGGAAATCTCTCAACCGAGAACGGGCATCCCCAAAAGAGAGAACTGACTGTAATGTTTCATGATTACAATTATGGCTTTGAATGACCTTATATGTTGTCCGATTTTTAAGCACCCGACTATGAGCAATCATTATAATTCTATGTATTTACTGATATTAGAATATTAACTTGTGAGTTGTCCCACATAGTTCATATAGTAAAACTAAGTCTAATGGGCCACTCCTATTTTCACCAATTGATTTTGGGATGGAACCTCACTTGGACTTCATTTGGGCTTTCCCTGCGTGCGCTTCGTCTTCGTGGGACCGCACCCGTTTTCTCCCCGTTTCTTACATGGTATCAGAACCGGTTCTATTGGGACCGGGCGATGACGTACCCGTTTATGAGAGTCTGTTTCTAATAGAGCTTGAGCACCCAACTCTGTATATGGGCTTGGACTTTCTTATTAAGGACTCACAAGTGAGAGGGTGCATTAGAATATTCACTTGTGAGTTGTCCCACATCTTTTATATAGTGAAAATAGGTCTAATTTATAAGTCTAATAAGCTACTCCTCCTTCCACCATTTGGTTTTGGGATGAAACTTCACTTGGGCTTCATCTGGGCTTTCCCTGCTTATGGTGCTCTTCGTCTGCGTGGGACTGCACCCATTTTCTCCCGTTTCTTACAACTGATATTGAATTTTTTCAAATATTTTTGTCACTCCAGTAAGCAATACTCGCGCTGTAGAGCTGCTAAATGAAGCGAGTCACTCATGAGTTTGGTTCAACTCAGCTCAGGCTCCACTCGGCTTGTTTATCAAACTAGCCGAGCTCGAGCTCATTTAAAACTCGTTTAATTAACGATCCAAGCTTGGTTTGGCTCAATAATGTTCGTTGAGGTTCAAAAAGTTATTTATTTTATATAATTTTCTATGATCCTGGTTGTTATAGCTAGATTTGGATGTATTAAGGCTCGAGCTCAACTCGTTAATATGATAAGCGAGCCAAACTCGAGGTTAATTATAAGGAATCAAACTCAACTTGACTCGTTTACACCCCTACCATTAACTAAAGATACTCTGCATCTGGGACCCAATATTAGCACCGAGTCCTATGAAGCACGGATACATTTACAAATACAAATACGAGATACGAATACAATACAATATTGGTACGAGCATACAATATATTCTAAAGTTTCAAAGATACAGAGACGACAATATCTTTACACCTTCTATAAAATTATATATGTATATAGAATAAAAAATAAAATTTTTGTTATTAAATAAGAATTAATAATATAATTGTCCAATTGTACAAAACTAAATTTTATATCAATGAATCACATATAAAATATCTTAGGGCCCATAAAAATGTATAAAATTCAATAATCAATACTATTCTTTTACTTTTTATTTTTATTTCTATTTTTAGAATACATAGCTCAAGTGTCGGAGTATCAGATAGGATATGTCAACCTCACTGCGCTTTTTAGGCCGAGGGGTGGATACCAGCATGCTTCTTAGGCACTGGTTAGGAATGAATCAAACACATTAATAACCTACATTTAAAAGAGCTGATTTAAAATCACTACCAAGTTAATAACCACATTGCAACAAATTATTAATCAAGGGATGCTACGCTACCGTTATGGAACCATTCCGTTGAGGTCTGTAACCGTTAGATCAACTATCTCCGACGGTTACATAATGATTTAATGGTTATAAACTCCGACGGAATGATTCCGTAACGGACCGTCAGCATTTCCCATTAATCAAACATATTAATCCCATTCTACACATCCATATAAGTAAAAATCAAACTAACTCTGACACAGCATGCAAAGTAAACCCCAGTATCATCTTTAAAATGGCATCAAAAGAGAAAAAGGCCTAACAGATTCTGGGCACAACCGACGAGCATCACGGCTCGTATAACATGCATTTCAAGATGTACTATACAACAAAAGAAATAATAAATCCCTTGGTTTCCTATCAACATCTCTAAAACACAACAGAGGCTGTGGAGCTGAATGTCTTCAGTTCCCACAGCTTTCTTTCCTTCCTTCCCTCCCTCTCGTCCAAAATCACCATAATATACACCTCCGCTTGGGTAAATGATCGGGAAACAGCCTTAAGATCGAAACACTATTCTTCACACCCCTAATCGCGTGCATGCATGCTCAAATCTTTCCCTAATCCTATAACTCACCACAAAAAAGAGGAAAAAAAAAAAAAAATCTCACGCACTCTCCTCTCATTTGCCATTTTTCTCACAGGAAGAAAAAAGCAGCAAGCCACGCAGGAGAATGTTAAGCTTCAATCTTGGGGGCGTCATCCATGCCAGGCGGAGATAGCGGTGGCACAGCCACTTCATGCAATGGAGAGTCGATTTCTAGAACTCTTCTGACCGTTGATCGGGATTCCGTGTTTCTGCCCATCTTTCTTGAATTTAGAGATCCAGAGGACCGTGAGGAATTACTGCTCTCAACAGATGCTAAGAATTTGTCCTTTGATAACGACCCTTGAGCAGAAGCAATGATGGAACTGAATGTACCAGATTCCCTTAGGCCTTGGATTATAATCTGAAATGCGAGCAAGAGACAAAAGATTAAAAAATGAAAAATGAATAGATAGGGACATAAACTGAACGCCACCTTATTATGATGTGGATTTCTTCTCCACTAAAATGGTCATAAAAAGCTTTACCATGGGAGCGTAGATACGTGTTAAGATTCCCTTCCTTAACAATTTTACATTGAGAGTTTTATCAGTCCACACAACACGTTCCCGATACCTGTTGCATCAAATAGAATGTTCGACAAATAAAGCAATAAATAAAATTATAAATTGTGTACATCTAAGTAAAAGATATAAGCAGTTCTATCAAAATAATTAGGTTCATGATGAAATTCACCGCACTCGTATGCAGGGGCAAGAATTTTATTAAAACAACAGGGACCATATTTAAAACTTGAGCATTACCAGTTTAGCATCTCCTCCTCCGTTGCAGTAGAAGCAATTATAAATGCCTGCAAGCAAAATAAATATTTACTTGTCAGCATGGCATAAGACTCGAAGGAAAAAAAAAAAAAAAAGGTGGATAGACAAATTTGCAGGTAATTCCATTTGTCAAATATCAAAAGTAAAAGCTCTATTAAAAGGTCTAAATAATAGCACAATAATATAGAGACCAGAAACAAGAATTAGGAATGAGGTAAATGACTGACCAAATTCAACAAACATTTTTAAGTGAGTGAGCTAAGAGCATCCACAACGCTTTGGGTTCAATCACAAAAAAATTATGCCACATAAGAAATAGACATAGTCTAAAAAAATATATTATCCAATGCAAATAAATGTAGACTGGGTCGTGCTGATGTGATAACCAGAAAAAGAGACCCGATCTATAGTTAAGTCTATTTTAGACCCAAGTAGAGACCTAGTCTCTTTGCATTGGAGTGGATTTTGTTAATTTTACATCATTTTATCTATGTCATCCAAGACTTGGGTTTATTTACATGCCACCTAGGCAAGATAGACCCAATGCATTGTAGATGCTCTAAGAGAATTCACGTACCGATGAGTAGGGGAACCAATCAAGATTAAACGTGAGAAGATTTCTCATTTACTATCCTATAAAGATTTCTCCTTTGTCATGTAAAACGGCATTCGAAATTATATAGAACATAAACAAGGACAATTAAATAAAAAATTTCAGAACATGGTTGAAGCTATTTTAGTCCTTGGAAGTCAGCATTCTCTAGCTATATGACCTATCAGAACCTTCAGACTATTAAAGAAAGACACAAGCTTTCTTCACATTTACAAAGGTAGGTAGTCGGTATATTACATTTCAAAAGGGTACATACAAACAATGGATCTTGCCTATGACTAGATACATTAGGACCAGAATACTTTATGATGCATGAGTTTCATCAATCATGTATTTTAGTTTTCTTTAATGGATTCCCTCATGAACACAGAGACAATTGGTTATCTAGTCAATAAATTAAAAATAGTGTGTGTTGCATGACATGTGTAGATCTCAACATACATATAAGCTCTTTAAAACCATAGAGAGACTTCATTCAAGAGTCAAGATAACGTATCGATGACATTTTAACACCAAAAGAAAAAATAAATAAATAAAATGAACTGCATGCATAAAAGTTCCTTAAAAATTCTCATGACAGTTTAACTGCACCCTTCATTTATCATTGATCCAAACACACTTGCTAGCACAAATATGACCACTACCAAGAAAATTACTAGCACAAAACTACAATTCAAGAATACAACACTTACAGATCTATCGAATTCCAACATAAAGCATCGTTTCACATCCTCTTTTGTAGGCTTGCAACCACATCGGTCCCGTCTAGAAGTCAAGTCAGAGAATTTGGAATATGTGTAATGTAAGACTGCACCCTCTTCCAGTTTCACTTCACTGTCAATCATCCCACAAAATTATTAAGAATAGACACTGTAGCATGCCCCAAGAAGACAAATGACAAAGCACAATTATGCAAATGGACACATGGATCTGAGAAGCAAATAACAACACATAGGAGTTGCAAGACTATCAAATATGGAAAAAATATCTAAAACAGTGATAACATACTTTGGAGTTTTCATGTAATTGTGCCATCTGTGTGCACCATTAGGCCGAAGATGATCTTGTATCCGAGCAGCAGATTTGCCATTCCCATATGTCAAAAAGTAGTTGGGATTGCCACGTGTAGATTCTTTATACATACCGAAATAAGTATCTTTTGTTAAATGATCATAGTTTTTTTTGAACATCGAGACCTGAATGGCAGATGGAAACAGAAAATCAGCCACTTTGGAGCTGCCGTAGCATTGAGTGGTTCTAGCTGGGCACCGACAAATAGAGAATTATATCATGGCAGAGAAGAGGTATACAGAAAAAATTCTCTCCTTTAAGTCTAACTTCTCATATCAAATAGGTCCAATGAAATAATTCACCACTTTTTCTTCAGCATAAAAACCAAGAATGTTTTCGGATATATTCATCAAAACAATAAACTTTTTGCGAGAAAAGTGTCGGCTACAAAGGAAAAGATAATGATAGAACGATTGCGCAGTTACCTCCGTGAAAGGGTCCTTGATGTCATCTCGTTCAACACTACTTTCCTGTAAAGGAAATAAATGGTAAGGCTTCAAGAAGATCAAAATTATTATTCTGGTTCCTTGTAGAAGTGCCAAAAAGAAAAAAAAAATTACTACCAAATTAGAGTCTCACAAAACTCATGTAACACAATGTATGCATCTATCAGAAATAAGGCAAAAAACGCAGTCACCAGGATGCTTACATAGTTGGGAAAAACAACCATGTCCACATTTGCAGGCACTTCACTCAACAATTGCCTCAGAGAATATTCTCGGGCACCAGCTGGATGCATCAGTTCATCAGTATCAAGATGAAGTATCCAGTCCACGCTTGCCTCCTGGAATCATAAAACAGGCAAGTATTTTACTAAATCTTCATGGGACAAGAAGTTTATCCTCTTCTGTCATGTAGAGATTCGTACCCTTGCCATAATAATTGCCATCTCCATGTTTAAGGACTGCTTCACGAAAAGCTCATAATTGCAAGGCTTATAAAAGAAACTTGACAGCCAAGTTTCATTCCAGATTCGGCTATAGCAGCAATACAAAAGGCTTGTGAGTCACTAATAGACACAACTAACACGAAAAATAAGGATTACAGCAGATGTGGAGATAGAAAAGAAAAAGGAAAAATAAACCAAACCCCGAGATCAATGATAAAATTAGGATGAGAGAAAATGATCAATAGCACTGGGCAAGAAAAAGCATATGACTATTTTTACCCTATGCTAAAAAGTAGATAGACAACAAAGTGACAAACAAGTTCACATAGTTTTAAATGGCCACCGTGTGGCCTCTCTGTGGCCCACCTAGGCAAAGGCTATTGGTAATTGCCTTGCATCACCTCAAGCGCCCACCAGGCGGGCCTCGGTATAAACTTCAGTTAGTCTTAAGACAATTATAAAGTAGCGCTACGTTACTCTGCAACACTTTTAAGATGTTCTATAAAGTAAAATGTGTCTCTCCCACGTCAAACACACATCCCAGTTAGAGGATGCAAAAACTTAGTCTTTGTGTTTATTCTCCTTTGTGTTTACATTTCTTTTGGGTAGTTAACTCGAGTTCAGTTTCACTTTTTGCCCCAGTTGTGTGATTCAATCACACAACTACATGTTAACGTCGGTTTTTTAATGTTCATAGAAAGTTCCGGTTCTGGTTCCCGATTCTTTCTTTTGTGATATAAATTAACTGAACAACCGCATATATACCTAACATACATATATTTTATATATATTAGCTGGTTTCGGTGTCATAATCGGAATATAAATGATTTGTTCTGTCATGTCAGTTCATCAAATAAGTGGTTCTTGCATTATAACCAGAATATAAGCAGCCTCTTCGTTCATTTCGGTTCTTCAAAGAAGCGGTTCTTGTATCATAACCAGTGTTATTAATGGCGGATGGCGGTACATGGCGTTTTGCCAAAATTCCGCCATTGCCGTGGCGGTCTATGGCGCCACCATGAACGCCATCATTCACAAATTTTGCATAGCGGATTGTTAAAAATCCGCCACGCCACACCGCCATGGCCGCCATTTGATAACACTGATCATAACTGGAGTACAAGCATTTTTCCTGATCATTCTGGTTTCTCAAAGAACCGGTTTAGCCGACCCGAACATTACCTAGTTTGATTCATAAATGGTTCCTGAAAAATTGACACAACAACCAAACAGCTAGCATATACCCGTTCTGATTCTCGATTATTAAAATTTCGCGTAAAACCCAGAACTGTCCCAGGTCTATATGATTTAAATTTTTTAAGATGATTCGACAATCCGAATCAGCACTTAAATTTGCATTGTACCATTTATTTTTCCCCTAATTGTGGTGGTATGTTCATGAGGCAGAACCATGGCCTCACGTCATGCCTCGAGGCCAGGCCCTGAGCAAATTGCCTCGCTTTTAATAACTATCCAAGTTACGTAACCAATGTGTAAACAAACATTCACATTGTGGATCACTTTACCTCTTAGCTTGTTGTTCCTCCAGTTCTTTGGTTCTGTATATCACTTTAACTCCCTGTAATTTGAAAAAAAAAAAAA